TCTCCCCCTCACCACTCTCCCCCTCACCACTCTCCCCCTCACCACTCTCCCCCTCACCACTCTCCCCCTCACCACTCTCCCCCTCACCACTCTCCCCCTCACCACTCTCCTCCCCTCACCACTCTCCCCCTCACCACTCTCCCCCCTCACCACTCTCCCCCTCACCACTCTCTCCCCCCTCACCACTCTCCCACTCCCACTCTCTCCCCCTCACCACTCTCTCCCCTCACCACTCTCCCCTCACCACTCTCCCCCTCACCACTCTCCCTCACCACTCCCCCTCACCACTCTCTCCCTCACCACTCTCTCCCTCACCACTCTCCTCCCCCTCACCACTCTCCCCCTCACCACTCTCCCCCTCACCACTCTCTCCCTCACCACACTCTCCCCTCACCACTCACCCCTCACCACGTTAAGCGCGATCCTAAAGGAATCTACAACCTTCGATTCGTCCTTTGTGCGATTCAAGGAATCGATTCCTGGCATGTTGGGGGTTTACATTTTGAATGACAGAGTTTTATTTTCATTGATATGTTATGTTTGAATGTTTTCAGGAGTTTTAATAACATTTTTGCCCCGGTCAACGCCGGATATTTCCCGTTCGTAGCAGTTTATATCGACTTTAACCAACTTAAAGTAAACGGGAATCATCCGAATCTAAAGGAATCTACAACCTTCGATTCCTTTTCGCGATTCAGAGAATCGATTCTTGGCGCGTCGGGTTTAAAAGTAATTACACACTTGTATTTTCATTGGTATGTAATGTTTTAAAGTTTTCAGAAGATTTTAAATGTATTTTCCCCCCGGGCAACGCCGGGTATATCAAGTTTATACCACAAAGTCGTCGCTTGACACGGGTGGGGTGTCGAGGCCTAGTACCGTGCAGAGCCTCCGGCCTTGCCTAGATTGCCTACCCGGCTGAGGGTGTGTACTGGGGCCAATACCCCCCCCCCCCCACGCGCTACAATAATACTGTCTAATCGCTATAATTTTATTATCTACCGACCCTATAATAGTAATTGCACACATTGGGGTGGAAGGGGAGTGAAGAGGACGTGAAACTTTGATGAATTTACCTCAGAATCGCGTGTTAATGCGTGCGCATATTTCAACGGGAATTCAAAATGGCGTCCACCCCGCAGCGAAAGCGTCTCTACCCGTTGCCAGGGGCAACCGCCGTGGTCCGCGCCGGCCGGCAAGAGTAAATAAATAAATAAAGCGTTATATAAATATATAAAGATAAATCGCTCTAAATCGATAATCGGTCCGATTTAAAGTTTAGAGACGAAAAATCGGAAATGCCTAAGTTTACCGCAGGGCCGGGGGCGTGCCCACATGCAAAATTTAATCTCGCCGAACCCCACGGTCCGAGAGCTAAATCCCCCGGTAGGGAGCGTACGCGGACGGACGGACGGACAAAAAATGAATTATATAGGTTAGATAAACAAATTAAAATAAACGCTTAATATACCTTGCCACGCAAAGGCCTAAGGCTGTATACGAGGCGCTAACGGACTAGGCCTCAGTAACTTAAAAGTGACAAATAAAGTTAATAAACCACTCATTATAGTGCGCGCGTCTCGTTAAAATGTAACTCTTACACGCAGCTACTCACGTTAATGTTAAAAGTGCAATTAACTTTTTATAAACATTAAAATAAACGCTTAATATACCTTGCCACGCAAAGGCCTAAGGCTGTATACGAGGCGCTGAATGACTAGGCCTCAGTAACTTTAAAGTGACTAATACAGTTTATAAACTACTGATTATAGCGCGCGCCTGTCGTTAAAATGTAACTCTTACACGCGGCTACTCACGTTAATGTTAACGAAACGCGCGCACTTTATTTAATTTCAAGGTTTTAATCAAAAGCTATCTCAGGGAATAAGGGAATGTTACATGTGTCATGCCAAGTGTTTGCAGTAGGGGGCGATGTTGCTACCAGGATAGCGTCACTGAGTCTAAAGGTTTTTGTAGGGTCATGCCAAGTGTTTGCAGTAGGGGGCGATGTTGATACACGGAGGGACGGACGGACGGACGGTCGGACGGACGAACGGACACATTAATCTATTGGTGGTCTGGTCCACTTCGTTCCTACCAGTATAACTCTAATTTATAATAATGCGCGGAAACAAAGATCAACAGAGTTGAGGATAAGAATCATCAATACATGAGAGCACACACCCCTACGCGTCGATTGGAAGAGCCACGCAGGTTAAAAAATTATACCGAACTGAGGAAGTATGCTAGCCTTCTACAAGGGGGACATGTTGTTTGAAAGGATATTACAGATCATCGATTATCCGGCAGCTTCGGGTCGGTGGGTGCATCGGATTTTAAAAAGATCGACGGATAATCACATCACCATTTAAAATAGCTTATTTTTTGCGCGTTCTTGCACGACATTATGTTTTTTTTAATGTGTTTGGCAACGTGAAATTGGAACAAATAAACACAAATAGACAAAAAAACACCATATTTTTAAAGCGTTGCTGTATTTACTGTACCATGCTTACCACTCCAATCTCGCCGACTTCGCATTGGGGTGACGCGTACACACGTGCAGTATGTTCATTGTGTAAGTTGTATGTAGTGTATAATGTAGTGTATATCATATTTCACACCGAAATCAAGCGTAACTACGTTGTCACGCGACACGTTGCCGATCCCCCGAACTGGGTTCCAGCCTCTGGAGGGGTTTCGCCGGATCGGCCCAGGGCCTCCAGATAATGTTAGAAGCAGCCAGATAAATGTACTATTATTGTTGATGGCCCATAGTACACCCCGGGGTGTGCCATAGTACACCCCGGCTCTCGCACAATGTCCCCGATGCAGTAATTTTTAGTCTGTTGAAGGTCGGCGATGCGGCTATAGACTCATCTCGACGAGCTGTACACGATGCACTATTCAAAGTTGAATTCTTCGATAACGGGTTTTTTTTTATGTTTGGCGTTTAGACATCGCGTAGTAGCACTGATTTCGGATTTATTGGTACCCCAGTCGCGGAGTTAAGTACACCCCTAAAAAAAAGTGTCCCAGAAATAACATTTAATTGCCTCGGCCTTTTTGTATTATTTGGTACCCCGGGTACCGCCATGAGCATCAATTGGTCGAAGACTAACGACGACGTGACAGCAAAGGAACGTTCGGGACGCGTGCAACAGCAGGGAGCCAAGGACGTCCAATCTAAGGGACCTTTGTTTGACAGTTATCAAGTATAAAAACAATTACAGGTGTTTACCCTTTTGTGGCAATAAAAATGGAGGTATTAAGGTGTTCAAACACCAAATAGTTACTGGACATCTGTGAAACATAGTGGACATGCGTGGAAAAAAAGAGCTATAGCTCATCGGATTCCTCCAGTATAAATATTCTGATTCCGAGATACCTTTCTGCAAGGTATCTAGTAAGTCTGCATTAACCACACGTGATTGTGGCAAAACGTGCAAACCGTGCACCGGTAATGTTTCAAAACACGTAGGGGCCTTTCGCGAACAATATCACCCACAAGGCGCGCGTCGTCTTTGGCCTAACACCAGAGACAGCCTTCCGTATGGCTCTCACCAGCATTGCCAAAAAGGGTAAACAAAACTATCCATATTTTTCAAGGACATCCAAATGGGAGATATACCGACGATTTTATTCTCCCCTGGTGTAAAGGGCAGGCAGGGTGGGTGCTGTGGCGTGGACGAGGGTTGAAGGCGGAATTTATTCAGCAGTGGATAGACCCTGGCTTGTTGATGACTAAAACCCTCACGACGATATTTAAGCCCGAAACATGAGGATTTCTCCGCAACTCTGTGGCCGTCCCCGCCTGATGATGCTGGCTGTTTAATTTCAAAACGTCACGGTACACGAATTGTAAAACCTTTTAGCGGGGTTTCTCTCCAACACACCGGTGTGGTGCTGTACGAGTAACGAAATTGGCCACGTTTTGTTTACGTGACAAACCTTAACTAAATTGGCTGTCGGTTGGGGGTGGCGGGTTTAACGATAAACATTGTCCATTTACGTGATCTAACCCCAAAACCATCTCCAACAGTACAATGTCGGCGACAAACAAAAAATCACGAACGAGCAGAGAACGACGGAGTACGCAAATGGAAACCACGAGGCCAGGCCGAGTCCCAATTGACAAAGACCCCCCCACATCACCCCCATTGCCTGCAACAGACTTGGGGCAAGCGCTGTGAGCGAGCGCCGACAAAGGCCGGCTCGGCACACGAGGGGGTGGGTGGCCAACGCCCGGCCGCCTTTGTCTCCCTCGTGGCAATATTTTTAACAATAGCAATAGGTATTCAATTGAGGCCGAGTCGACCTAGGGGAGGGCCAGGACCGGTTCAAATAAACGTCACTGGTGGTGGCCGTGAGGAAGGAATTGAACTGTGGCTCGCCGGGTTCAGAGCACAGCGCGCCAACCCATGCTCACTCCACTGCTGGATGAAGGCCTGCCTCCCCAATTACCGTTCGACATTATTTCACGGCAAAGACTCCTGCGCCAACTTATCAAACAGCCTTAAATTTCACTGCACGATAGCACAAACCCACCGCTGCTGCTGGATTTGAGGCTTCCAACTCATCTCCATGCAGGTCCGTAGCGTGTGGGGGGGGAGTTACCGATTTGGCCATACTTCACCACGCTGGTCACAAGTGCGGTCAGCATAGGCGTATGAGAACTTTGACTAATATACAAAGATTGCAGCGCCGCAGAGATCAGCTGCATCCCTCTCTGCTGCTGCTGGCTTTGGTCACCACGCAGCAACTATAACATCCTGTGATGGTCGACCAATCCAGGCACGATCTCAACCCTGCCAAGAAGCTTTGCGAGCTCGGGGTTAATTGAAACACGCCTTCAAATACTTTTGCCGACAACAAAACAATAAGCAGCACGGGAAACCAATGTCACAGGAAACATCCCCATCCATTCATTCATCAGCATTCACACACACACACAGACTGGCACTGTCTTTTGTGCGTGAATCAAATCCACAAATACTCACCCGGTGAGTGAATGAGGGAGGGACGTAGCTGTAGTGACGAGATACGAGACAACAACAATAGTTGAGACTCACTACGGGTACGGGATGCCTGCGCTTATATAAGCGGGCAGCCGGCGGGCAGCCAGCGGGCCCGCGCTCCTCCCACCGGCCACGTGCTCCCCACCCCCACGACGCCCCTCACCACGCTACCCCACCCCCAACAACACCCCACCCACGTGATACCCTCACCACGCTACCCCACCCCCAACAACACACCACCCACGTGATACCCTCACCACGCAACCCCACCCCCAACAACACCCCACCCACGTGATACCCTCACCACGCTACCCACCCCCAACAACACACCACCCACGTGATACCCTCACCACGCAACCCCACCCCCAACAACACCCCACCCACGTGATACCCTCACCACGCAACCCCACCCCAACAACACCCCACCCACGTGATACCCTCACCACGCTACCCACCCCCAACAACACACCACCCACGTGATACCCTCACCACGCTACCCCACCCCCAACAACACACCACCCACGTGATACCCTCACCACGCAACCCCACCCCCAACAACACCCCACCCACGTGATACCCTCACCACGCTACCCCACCCCCAACAACACACCACCCACGTGATACCCTCACCACGCTACCCCACCCCCAACAACACACCACCCACGTGATACCCTCACCACGCAACCCCACCCCCAACAACACCCCACCCACGTGATACCCTCACCACGCTACCCCACCCCCAACAACACACCACCCACGTGATACCCTCACCACGCAACCCCACCCCCAACAACACCCCACCCACGTGATACCCTCACCACGCTACCCCACCCCCAACAACACACCCGCCCACGTGATACCCTCACCACGCTACCCCACCCCCAACAACACACCACCCACGTGATACCCTCACCACGCTACCCCACCCCCAACAACACCCCACCCACGTGATACCCTCACCACGCAACCCCACCCCCAACAACACCCCACCCACGTGATACCCTCACCACGCTACCCCACCCCCAACAACACACCACCCACGTGATACCCTCACCACGCAACCCCACCCCCAACAACACACCACCCACGTGATACCCTCACCACGCAACCCCACCCCCAACAACACCCCACCCACGTGATACCCTCACCACGCTACCCCACCCCCAACAACACACCACCCACGTGATACCCTCACCACGCTACCCCACCCCCAACAACACACCACCCACGTGATACCCTCACCACGCAACCCCACCCCCAACAACACCCCACCCACGTGATACCCTCACCACGCTACCCCACCCCCAACAACACACCACCCACGTGATACCCTCACCACGCTACCCCACCCCCAACAACACACCACCCACGTGATACCCTCACCACGCAACCCCACCCCCAACAACACACCACCCACGTGATACCCTCACCACGCTACCCCACCCCCAACAACACACCACCCACGTGATACCCTCACCACGCTACCCCACCCCCAACAACACACCACCCACGTGATACCCTCACCACGCTACCCCACCCCCAACAACACCCCACCCACGTGATACCCTCACCACGCTACCCCACCCCCAACAACACACCACCCACGTGATACCCTCACCACGCTACCCCACCCCCAACAACACACCACCCACGTGATACCCTCACCACGCAACCCCACCCCCAACAACACACCACCCACGTGATACCCTCACCACGCTACCCCACCCCCAACAACACACCACCCACGTGATACCCTCACCACGCTACCCCACCCCCAACAACACACCACCCACGTGATACCATCGCCACGCAACCCCACCCCCAACAACACACCACCCACGTGATACCCTCACCACGCTACCCCCACCCCCAACAACACCCCACCCACGTGATACCCTCACCACGCTACCCCACCCCCAACAACACACCACCCACGTGATACCCTCACCACGCAACCCCACCCCCAACAACACACCACCCACGTGATACCCTCACCACGCTACCCCACCCCCAACAACACACCACCCACGTGATACCCTCACCACGCTACCCCACCCCCAACAACACACCACCCACGTGATACCCTCACCACGCAACCCCACCCCCAACAACACACCACCCACGTGATACCCTCACCACGCTACCCCACCCCCAACAACACACCACCCACGTGATACCCTCACCACGCTACCCCACCCCCAACAACACACCACCCACGTGATACCCTCACCACGCTACCCCACCCCCAACAACACACCACCCACGTGATACCCTCACCACGCAACCCCACCCCCAACAACACCCCACCCACGTGATACCCTCACCACGCTACCCCACCCCCAACAACACACCACCCACGTGATACCCTCACCACGCTACCCCACCCCAACAACACACCACCCACGTGATACCCTCACCACGCAACCCCACCCCCAACAACACACCACCCACGTGATACCCTCCCCACGCTACCCAACCCCCAACAACACACCACCCACGTGATACCCTCACCACGCTACCCCACCCCCAACAACACACCACCCACGTGATACCCTCACCACGCTACCCCACCCCCAACAACACCCCACCCACGTGATACCCTCACCACGCTACCCCACCCCCAACAACACACCACCCACGTGATACCTCACCACGCTACCCCACCCCCAACAACACACCACCCACGTGATACCCTCACCACGCAACCCCACCCCAACAACACACCACCCACGTGATACCCTCACCACGCTACCCCACCCCCAACACACACCACCCACGTGATACCCTCACCACGCTACCCCACCCCCAACAACACACCACCCACGTGATACCATCGCCACGCAACCCCACCCCCAACAACACACCACCCACGTGATACCCTCACCACGCTACCCCCACCCCCAACAACACACCACCCATGTGACGCCCCTGACCACGCTACCCCAACCCCCAACAACACACCACCCACGTGATACCCTCACCACGCTACCCCACACCCAACAACACACCGCCCACGTGATACCCTCACCACGCTACCCCACCCCCAACAACACACCACCCACGTGATACCCTCACCACGCTACCCCACCCCCAACAACACCCCACCCACGTGATACCATCACCACGCAACCCCACACCACCCACGTGATACCATCACCACGCAACCCCACCCCCAACAACACACCACCCACGTGATACCCTCACCACGCAACCCCACCCCCAACAACACACCGCCCACGTGATACCCTCACCACGCTACCCCACCCCCAACAACACACCACCCACGTGATACCCTCACCACGCTACCCCACCCCCAACAACACACCACCCACGTGATACCCTCACCACGCTACCCCACGCCCAACAACACACCGCCCACGTGATACCCTCACCACGCTACCCCACCCCCAACAACACACCACCCACGTGATACCCTCACCACGCTACCCCACCCCCAACAACACCCACCCACGTGATACCATCACCACGCAACCCCACACCACCCACGTGATACCATCACCACGCAACCCCACCCCCAACAACACACCACCCACGTGATACCCTCACCACGCAACCCCACCCCCAACAACACACCGCCCACGTGATACCCTCACCACGCTACCCCACCCCCAACAACACACCACCCACGTGATACCCTCACCACGCTACCCCACCCCCAACAACACACCACCCACGTGATACCCTCACCACGCTACCCCACCACGCTATTTCACACCACCCACGTGACGCCCCTGACCACGCTACCCCACCCCCAACAACACACCACCCACGTGATACCCTCACCACGCTACCCCACCCCCAACAACACACCACCCACGTGATACCATCGCCAAGCAACCCCACCCCCAACAACACACCGCCCACGTGATACCCTCACCACGCTACCCCACCCCCAACAACACACCGCCCACGTGATACCCTCACCACGCTACCCCACCCCCAACAACACACCTCCCACGTGATACTCTCACCACGCAACCCCACCCCCAACAACACACCACCCACGTGATACCCTCACCACGCTACCCCACCCCCAACAACACACCACCCACGTGATACCCTCACCACGCTACCCCACCCCCAACACACACAACCCACCCACGTGATACCCTCACCACGCTACCCCACCCCCAACAACACCCCACCCACGTGATACCATCACCACGCAACCCCACACCACCCACGTGATACCATCACCACGCAACCCCACCCCCAACAACACACCACCCACGTGATACCCTCACCACGCAACCCCACCCCCAACAACACACCACCCACGTGATACCCTCACCACGCAACCCCACCCCCAACAACACACCACCCACGTGATACCATCACCACGCTACCCCACACCACCCACGTGATACCCTCACCACGCAACCCCCACCCCCAACAACACACCACCCACGTGATACCATCACCACGCAACCCCACACCACCCACGTGATACCATCACCACGCAACCCCACCCCCACCAACACACCACCCACGTGATACCCTCACCACGCAACCCCACCCCCAACAACACACCACCCACGTGATACCCTCACCACGCAACCCCACCCCCAACAACACACCACCCACGTGATACCATCACCACGCTACCCCACCCCCAACAACACACCGCCCAGGTGATACCTTCACCACGCAACCCCACCCCCAACAACACACCACCCACGTGATACCCTCACCACGCAACCCCACCCCCAACAACACACCGCCCACGTGATACCATCACCACGCAACCCCACCCCCAACAACACACCGCCCAGGTGATACCTTCACCACGCAACCCCAGCCCCAACAACACACCACCCACGTGATACCCTCACCACGCAACCCCACCCCCAACAACACACCGCCCACGTGATACCATCACCACGCAACCCCACCCCCAACAACACACCACCCACGTGATACCCTCACCACGCTACCCCACCCCCAACAACACACCAACCACGTGATACCCTCACCACGCAACCCCACCCCCAACAACACACCACCCACGTGATACCCTCACCACGCAACCCCACCCCCAACAACACACCACCCACGTGATACCATCACCACGCAACCCCACCCCTAACAACACACCACCCACGTGATACCCTCAC